TTTTTTTATAAGAATCTCAAACTAGTGCCAGCATGCATTCTCAAACATCAAGTACCTCAACTATATAATCAAATATTCACAGCAAAGTTTTTAATATATATATTTTCCCAGTCTCCTACCTGTATACCTGCAGCAAGAGACCAAATACTTTCCTGTAGTAATCCAGGAAAGGAGCAATATGATCCACAAGAGAAAGGTACTCCACAATCCAAGGAATAGTAAGGATAGAACGTTGATCCCGAACAGACTGTCTCAGAAGCTTCAATATATCCAGTATAGGCAGGGTCTTAAAGGACAATAGAAGTTATTGCAGCAGTTTGAAGTTACTTTTTGATACTAAAAGAAAAACTTTTATCTGTATCTTGACTTTTCTTTCTAGGATTTCATCTTCTATACTTCTAGCTAATGAAAACCCTTCTTTGCACATGAGCAGAGGTAAAAACCACACTACGACTGCAACCAAAGGTCCCACTGGGACTTTCAAAAGCAAGGCTATAAGCCTGACTACATACAAGTGGAGTCATTGCATTCAGAATGACACACTGGTAGGAGATGGGTGCCAAACTTTCAAAATCATTCCTGCTAGCTGGATTTTACACTATAAATACAGTTAGATGAGAGCTCTAGTATGACAGACCCAGATTAGCAGAAATAACAGAAGACCGAGTACCTTACCATCAGTGCATTGCTCCCTCTTTTCTAGGTCATTCAAACTCGTTTCCTTTGTTCTCAACCCCAGAACATGCAGTAGGGACACAGAACCATATAACCACATCCCAGGAGCCACTGGCTCACTTTGAAAGGGCATGACAATTCATAATCCCCTCCTTGGATTAGAAAACCTGCCTGTCAAGCGAAGGACAACGTCAGGTTTCTTACTTGGTTTCTTAATGCTAATGCAGAATCTTGCAAGTCTCTAGTTGGCTGCTCCACAGTGCGATATGGCAAGAAAACAAGAAACCCCAGGAACTTGGCGAGGAGTCGCAGACTTAACAGGACCACAGTGAAGCGCTTCTTTTCATCCTAAAATGAAGAAAGGCAAGCTGAGGTAATGCTGCCCTAAACTGGCAAAGCAAATACCTATACTAAATTTCTATTTCCTTCATGTAAAAGGACCACATAGCTTCATCACTGCTTTTAATAAATGTAAGTTTCCAAAATACATATTTATCAAGCATTTAAAATTGCTTCTGTCTCCATTGCTTCACTTCATCACAAGAAGAAATTATTCAAGAGCTCTCTAAAACAAGCAGCTGCTCAATCTTCATATTAAAAACTTTGGAGTCAATGAGAGGGCAAAGCTGATCTCACGTTGCCTTCTTTAAACCACTACCACTTTGCAAGTCTTCGTGAACCTTTGGCAGCTACTTTGCTAATGAACTATAAGCTGTGACACCTCTGATAGGTATAGCTGAGTGAAGAAACATCTGAACAGGTATGAACAGGGATGACTACAAACTCAAACTAAAATCCTTCTATGTGAAAAAGTAACAAGGAGCTATTGCAACTGAGTGCAACAACTCGGTTATTTCACTGATCTAACACAGGATACTAATAACCTAAAAAGGAGGCTTCAACTTTCCAAACTATTGTGCATTATCTCTTATGACACAGTTCTATGAAGCACCCTGAAGCATGCAAGTAAGAGGCAAGGGGCTCAGACTTCCGTAACTAGAGTTATGACAAAACCAAATGAAGCTCTTCTCCTGTAATAGAGTAGTGGCAGGGCAAGCCAGTAATTGTTTGAGTACTGGAACAGCTCCAACAAATTCCTGCCAGATGTGTTTGCAAAAAACAAGCTTACCTGTTCATCCATATCTGCTTCCCCATCACTGTGCTCATGCTCCACCAGAGTAAGGCCATTCAGTTCAAGTATCTTCAGGCACAGACTATCCATCAGGTGCTGATTGAACTGGTAACTTCAGCAAAAGATGATGATGAGTCAGACTGGGCTGAAAACAGCAGTAAAACCTCAACTAACACACTGCAAAATTTCAAGCTTGTCTCATGAGCATCAGCAGACATCCAATGGAACAGACTGACAGGTAAGAAAGCAAAAGACAAGACTAGTACTGGCTGACCCCCTTCATTTCCACTTCTTTTGTACTTTTTCAAAGAGATGCTATTTAGCATGTCTTGGCATAAGGATAATAAAACTGATCTGTCAAAGCAGGAAGCTGTGAAACAACTGAATTTAAGATTAAAGTCTCCCATAGATCACAATTCCTCCATGCTGTGAATTGTGAAAAACTCATTAAACAAAACCATAAACCTGGCTTCATCCTGTACTCCTTGGCTTCATGCACTATCACTCAAGAAGCACTTGTCCAGTCCAGTGTCCTTGCTAGGCAGCACTGCATGCCTTGGCACTGGGAAATGCTGAGAGCCTCTGAGAAAATATTATGGCTTTATAGAAGAAAAATTATTACCATATATTACCATATAGTCTGGTCCCAATCTTTCTGAATAACTCTTCGCTGCAAGAGCAACATGCTGGTGCTCCTGTTACCCACACATTTCAGAGAGGAAACAGCAAGCACAGGCAGCTAACCTTCCGGCGCTGAGGATGAAGTCCCTGAAGAATTGCTGGCACCCCGGGAATGAAGGGGGTGGACAAGGTCCTCTGATGCTCTGAGGAACAACAAATCTTTCCTGCAGCCTCTTCAGACGGCTCAGATTGTCAGAACCCAGCATATTAAGGACATCCTGGTCTGGTGTGTCTCCCCAGTTTGCGCCACCACCAATAGGACCTTTACACATCTTTAGGAGACAGAAAGAGTAGGGAGGTGGAAATTTTGTAACAAGACATCATTTCACTTATCTCTCATCCAACATATTATCCTTTCCTCACAAGACTGTTTTTGGAGTAATCCAAGCATGATCTTTTCAGGTATCCACATACAGAACAACTCTTCCTCATGCCAAAACATGCTACCAGCCTTGGCCATAAGCAATCTAGAGATCTTGCAAGATGGAATTCCGATCCTATACATCTAACTAGGCCATACCTAGCAGGCTACATGTGGATGTGCGGAGAGAACATCTATCACTTGCATGATCTTCATGAACCACTCAGTAGGAGCTTTAGCCCAGTCTCCAAGGCCCATGATGCAGCACTATGCATTCCCAGATCAGGTTTTCCTGGAACTTCCACACAGTTAAATAAAAATAAAAAATGAATGCTCCACTCCCTCAAACACACAGATACTACTCAAGACTCAAAGAATTACAGAACTGCAGAACTGTTTATGCTGGATCATCTAATCCAACCCTCCTCTTCAATCAGGGTCAGCTACAGCACATTGTCCAGAGCCATGTCCAATTGGGTTTTGAATGTCTCCAAAGACTGGGACTTCACAACTGCTATGGGCAACCTGCTTCACCTGTTTGACCACCCTCACAGCAAAGAAGTGTCTTCTTGTGTTCAGATGGAATTTCCTTTTCCTCAATATGTGTCCATTGCCTCATGTCCTGTCAGTGAACACTACTGAAAAGAATCTGACTCCCTCTTCTTCTTTCCCTCCCAGCAGGTATTTGTAATGCAGTGTTAAGATAACCTGGAACTTTCTCTTCTTCAGGCTGAATACTCACAGGTCTCTCAGCTTCTCCTCAAATAAAAAAAATTCTCCAGGTCCCTTAATCACTTACATAGCACTGCACTAGATTTGTTCTAGTAAGTCTGTATCTTTCTTTTCTTGTGCTAGTGAGGCCAGGACTGGACACAGTCTGGACTGGACATAATGGAGTATATACTCCTAGTCAATGATGAGTAAAGGGAAAAGATGACTGCACATCCCTGCATCTATATCACGGTACTTTTAATGAGAGAGATCATACTAAAAAGCAACATTTAACTATGTATGTGAGCACTACTAGGTGAGTAGTAGTAGTGAGCAAGTATTAGGTACATTTATTCCAAACAGAGCATCCTTCCCTCCCCAAAAGAATATCTTGTAACGCTTCCCAACCTTCAAATTATAAGGCCTCAACACAAATCCTCAGTCACAGTTCATTTCTGCAAGAGTATCATAATACATACTTTCTAGTCAGACACATTGGACTCATTGAAGATGCCTAGTTACCAGCTTAGATCTTTGGTTACCCTTGTGAAATCCTGAAGTCTTCATTAAGAAGGCACAGATAGAAATACAGCACCTAGGCCTAATTAAATCCTATTGATGCAACAAAGTTCATCTCACCTCTTTCCCACAATTTCCAGGAACACACATATACAATCAGACAGGACACTGACGCAAACTCAGACTTGACACTAGAGGAATTTTCAACATTCCAACAGCTTGCAACTTCCTGGCAATGTGTGTGGGCTAATACTCAAGGTGAGGGCTTATGTCTGTTTTGCTATCCAAAAGGAACCCAGCAATAAGCCAGGCATTTACAGAGAATAGAATGAATATCTATACTCCAATAAGAAGCATCTTCTCTTTTTTTCATTTCTTTAGTTACAATGAAGACAAATGATGCTT